ATTTCCCATCCGCTTAACATGGAGAAGGCGGAGTTTATGATCTATACTGCAGCCAGCCATGAGGCGGTGACCAAGATGATTTGGCTTCACTTTTGGGAAGCTGTCAAGCTCCATTTTTATATAGGGTCTATGGGTTTGACCAGTAGCATATGGCGGCTAATGTTAATGAACTCAAGCTAGATAATGTTGTGTAACTGACATTATTGAGTCAGTTCTTTGACTTCATGGCTCTTCTACACACATGCTACTGTTAAACTACTTAAGAATTTACCACTATCCTGTAACTACCATTGTTTAGCAAAGGTTACACAGAGTCATCAAATGTATAACTTTTCCTGTTCTGAGCTGGTTAACTACTGGGGATTTAAATTTTCTAAGGTGGCTGGTACCATAACACGACCTAAAGATGATCATTTTTGGCAAGGCCAAGACGAAGATTGTTCAATATGATGGGACTTTTTACAGCAAATAATCTTACTTCAGCGCTTCTGGAGCCACCTTCACTTCAGCACTGGCTAATGATGAAATTTGGTCCCCCCCTTTGTTGCTTTTCCAAAGGATGTCCATATTAATCTGAAACATAACTCATCATTTTATTTGTGTACTTTTCTTTTGAGTGCATCATGCTTTTTTGAGCCTTGTGTTGTTTTCGTGTTCTGCGTTCTCATGTACTGGCTTTATTTCATGGGAAACTGAAGCATTCAACCATGTGAACCTTAGCAGAGTTTCATTAAAAACGACAAATGCATATGATTTTTGTTTTGGTTTAAATAAGTACACAAAATATTCTGCAGTGACACAACCTCTGTTATGCATAATTGCTTTGATTATTTGACAAGCTATTCGTACATCTTAAAGGCTTTTGAAACATCTGGTGCTGACTTTTTACATCCAAAAGTAAAAGAAGCATCTGAAAAGAGTTTCTCTTCAGAGCACTCTTCTTCATCAGGGTATACTAGCTATTCGCTGTTTGCATTGCTATTACTACGAACCTACCAGAACCATTTATTTGGATAATATCCTCATTGAGATGTGCGTGCAGAGCACCAAAATTGGCTTGTAATTAAAAGATGCTGGGGATTCTGGAGAAAAAAAAAATAAATAAAAGAAGCCGAGTGAGTTATTAAGGTCCTTCCTGTGGTTTAAAAATCAAACAGCACCTGGATACTGCTTGCTTCTATAAGACTACCAAGTACCACACACAGGAAGGGAAATAGATAGCAGTGTGCAGGCAGGCACACACAAACATGCAGAGTTGACAGATACAGACACACACTTTCACACACAGACAGACAAACACGGATACACACACAACGCCTCCACAAACACATACAGAGCTGGCACATCGGGTGAGGTAATGTTCCCTCCCTTCTGCCTTCCAAGCACACTTCCTCCGCCTGGAATAATTGCTGCCTGGCTGCTTGTCTGGGAAAGCGAGCTGCTCCGTTCATTAGTTGCTCTAAATATCAGACACGGCATCACTTTTAAAGGCTTAATTTCACTGCAGTCACAGCCCCTTTCTCTGATCCTCACCCGTCGAGAGCAGCAGAGTATGCTCCTGTTCTCGCAGGCATGACCTAAATAGATAAGCAGTAAATGAACGGGGCCCTTTCTTTTGGCAACCGGGGAGAAATTAACGGACAGAGATGAGAGCAGACGAAAGGGGAGCGCTTTGTGGTGGGAGGGTGCAGAAACTCAAGTGAAGCAGCAGTGACAGTGATGGCGATGGAGAAAGCAGTATCCATTTTCTTGCAAAAGCGGCAAAACAAGACATCCGTTTCCATGGAGACCAGCAAAGAGTCATATTTCTTAAGGGACTACTGGGCTTCCTGCCGTGCTTAGTGATTGGCTCATTCAGATGCTGCAGACACAGTACCTGAGGGAGATGGCTTACACTGCTGGTCTTAGAGCTGAGAGAACAGGATGTGTACGGCTGACGGGACCTGACCTGAAGTCACTACAGACACAAACAACACGCCTCTAACCTCTGGCTCTAGTTCTCATGTGACAACGGTGAAGCTGAGAGGGACAAGTGGGAAAAATGTGATGTAAAGTAAATGGGCCATATATTTTAGAGCAGTAATAAACCCAAAAACAAAACAACAAGGTGATACTGTTATTCAAGAGATACTGCATAGATTTTTGCTTTAGCAAGTACCCTGGCTTATCACCATACATTGTTTACATGCAGCACTTGGAGGTGATCAGACACACATCTGACCACATGTGCAATTCGTGTCATTTCCATGTTCCTGCAAAGAAACTACAACAATGAATCAAACCAAAACTGCTGTCAGCAGCTTGCATACTAATTAAGAGCCATGCATTAGCAGAGACCTTTTCTCTAATAGCCTGTTTCACACATGCACTTTGTTCTGTCAATGCTCCAGCAATTCCACATGTCAGCATCATGACTGAAAAGGACCACAAGCTGTTTTTTCCCAGAAAAGTTGCTATGGTAATCTGTTTCTCCCTCCATAGGTCAGTTTGAATATGAAGCAGACATACTAATGGATACAGCACACACGAGGTCATGGTCTTCTTGGACATATAAATATATGAACCAACACATGTAACTGCATGTTTTGCACTTCCTTCTTGTGACAGCAATATAATAAGACATATTTAAGTATTAAAGTAAATTAGCCGAATGCAGACAGGAAGTAAACATATTTTTAAACTGTGTTTCTTTGTGTGACCAGATATTATTTATTTAAATATGCTTAAGTATATGCTATATTTAAGCAGCTTACTTGGCTACATTTTGAAGGGAAGTTTGAACAGTACTGTCCTAGATGGTCTGATTTTTACTGCACCTTCTCTGAGTTCTCTAGGATCTGAGCAGCAGAGGCATGGCATTTTTAGACCCTGGGGAAAGTGAAAAACAGAACAAGGCTTTTTGCTAGAAAAGCTAATTAACAAGATAAAAAAGAAGTCTAATGCTGCTGGCTAATTGTCTTGTTTTGAGCTGCTTTGACTACTCAGTAAAGATACACCACTGATCTCTCTGAACACGTCAGTCAGGGCTGAGCTGAACAACCACACGCTCATAAAGAAGATCAGATTGTGGCTTGTGGAAAGTTGGAAGTGTATAAAGCTTGACTTAAGGTTGGGTGCTCGACACTTTTGATTTATTTTATTTTTATTTATTTATTTAAACTTTATTTATCCAGGTTTGCCTCATTAAGATTAAGAATCTCTTTTTCAAGAGGGACCTGGCCGAGAAGGCAGCAAAAGTTACAGACACACATTAAATTGATGAGTGTTGCTTGACCGTAATGACATATTTTTGACAGAACACAAGATCGCTTGAAACTTTCCTTTTATGTCATGCACTTGGAGAATTTTGTTACATTGCGCATGATCATATTTTGTTTTGCAACCCACATCGACTTCAACCATTCAGCGTCTCTGTCCACAGAAGCAGCCGTCTGTCAGCAGTAGCAGCTCCTGAGGAGCTGAGAGGACAAGGCCGGCCAAACTGCTTTCACCAGGCTGACTGACAGCAAACATTTACTGAACCTAAAAAAAATTTCATGTCATCCTCATGGGAAGAAATCACTTTTTACATGTACTGATTCACTAATGTTATTTCCCTGCCCACCATATGGAGTAAGAGGAATGTGCAGCTCACAGACAAACTGGGAGCTGATCAATCAATATGACAGATATGGTTAATAAGTGAAAAACACATATGGAGTGGGATATCTGTGAGATTTTAACAGCTGTCCGTGCAGATTATGCTTCACTAAACACAACTAAAACAGACTTGCACTGTAAAAACACAGGGAACTCTGACTACCATAAGATAACTGAAACCTTTTACTAAAACATAATTTGACAAAAACACGCGACTGTTTATGTTCTCTCGAGCAACACTTATCAAATTTGTTGAGTTTTACTATAAATCAGGCTTAAGTTTATTATCCTACCTATAATTCATATGACATTTTTATCATCAATTTTTTTTGTGATTTTATTGGTGATCATCCTTGCTGCCTTTGCATCAAAGACAACAAAGAATATAAATCTCAGACTTTATTATATTTTAATGTCCTCCTTCTCATGATGCCAACTCAATTACAGTAAACCTCCATTGTCTGCTGCCTTACAATCTGTTTTTAGTTATGAAAGCATAATAAAGACAACATATATGTTTTCTTGGATAATGCACTCCAACAAATCACCTCACATTCTCCACAAGTGCCTCCACGACAAAATGAAGAACAGTTTGTGAAGCAACACATATGTCCTTGATGATGACTTTATGTGAAACATAGTATACACACAACACCTCCTGTCCTGTCCTTGGAATGTGTGACCCATCCTTGGAAATGATTGGCAATTCTTGTCTTTTTTTGCCCTCGACAGTGTGACACATCATCTTGGATGTTCACCTTTAGGCTGACAATGAACAGGGCTTTAAAATGTGACAGCAGTGGTTGAAGGATAAGTCAGTTTATGGTGTGCATGACAGGGTGTATATAGCGGTGACAGGGAGGCATGGACTATTCCTGTTGGGTTGGTTGTATATGTGCAAGTACTGTATGTGAGACACTGTGTATGATAATCAGGTGCAATGAGTCTATTGTTTCTGTTGCATGATCTCTTGTCTGCTTGCAGTTCCTAAAATTTAAGATGGAAGATATTGTGGCATTGAATGCATTTGTGATATACAGCCTTTGGCACTTCTCTGCTGGTAAACTTCCTTATTGATCATAGTGAACTATTTCTGACCAAATTAAAGAAGACAATGGCCCCACATCAAACACTTTGGTTCTGTTAGCTGTCACCTGAATAGTAACATACTTGAGCAGGAATGAGGTTATTACAAAAAGACCACTAACATCTATTGCATGTAAGACTAATAAGTTTTAGATCAAACATCTACAATACTATATTTCATACAGTTCTTGATTCTGCCCACAAATAGCATGAAAACTGTTAATACACTTATTCTGAGTGTGTGAGATTGTGCATCAGAGGTGTGGTCAACATACCGTCACCTTCTCTAAATCAGCTTCTGAGGAGGTGGGAGACAGGGGGCTGATGGGACTGAGGGAAGGAGAGCTTCCAACACTGGAGACGTACTCGGGATCAGGAACATACAGAACCTGCAAACACAATCCATGTCTGTATTTACACAGGCGCTGCCTTTGTGCAAACACGCATTGTACACCACGCATGCACACACAAGGAGGGGAAAAAAGAGAATCTCTCTTTCTCACACATATGCATACAGTTCACACACAACCCAACCACAACACTGACAAGGCAAATGACATGAAATCATGTGAATAGCCTCAGGCCACTGACAGGGATAAATGGAGAAAGGGAAAATGACAGTTATGATGATCAAGTCAACTTGTTGGAGTTGGCAGTTATGGGGATGAGGGAACTGATAATTTTTACGTAGTTAGCACATGGTGACAGCCAAATTTAGTTTATTTCTATACAGGACAGCAACTACCACATATTTTCATAATTTATAAATTTGTTGATTATTTTCTCAATTAACTAATTAATCATTTAAATAATAAAATGTCAGATTATAGTGAAAAATGCCCTAGGAATTCCCCAAACCAAAAGATATTTAGTTTAATAACAGAGGAAAAGGAAAATTAGTTGAGTGTGAAGCTACAGCCAGGAGACAGTTAGGCTTACCATACAGACTGGAAACAGGGTAAATCAGTGGCTAAATTCTTTCAAGTGTCACAAACCCAATGAAATGACTTGTTTTAATATCAGGATTTGATGCATTTGGTCTGATAACATTTGGAAAGTCTAGCGGGGCCATAAGATTAAATCATTTTATTCCCATTCAAGTAAGCAGAGTGCTGAACCGGAAGTGGCAGGCTCGGCGGGCGGAAGTCTCTAATGCGCTTGCTCTATGGGTAGAGCAGATAAGATAAGATATTTTGGGGGGCTTTCTTGTCATTATTTGATAGGACAGATTTAGCATGAAAGGGGGAGAGCGTGGGAATGACATGCAGCAAAGGGCTGCAGGTTGAAACTGAACCCCAGCCCCCTGCAGCAAGACAGTGTGTCTTGGAACATGTTGGACCTGCTCTACCAGGTAAGCCAGTGGGCGCCCCCTACGCAGCTCTTTTAATACATGCATGGGTTAAACTCAGTTACGGTAGACTGGCTCTGTCCAAAGATTTAAAAACAATCCTTACCAGCACTTCTAGAAGTCACTAATTAACAAGTTATCCTGGGTGTTTTTCTCTGTAAAGAAACCAACGTGTAAAAACCACAAGTTGCAGTTTAAGGGCCCTGCTGGCTGTTTCCAATCTTTATGGTAATTCAAGCTAACCATGTCCTGGCTGTAGCTTCATATTCAACATACACGCACGAGAGAGTGGTATTGATCTTCTCATATAACTCTCAGCAAATAAACTAATGAGAGTACTTTGCCAAAATGTTGAATTTATCTCTTAAGAGAAGCCCTCTACATGTTCATTACTGTATAACCTGTATAATATCTATTTTCAGAAAAAAAGATAAGTGGTTTTTAAGCCTTTAAAAGGGAACACCACCTGAATTAAGATTTTAAATATGTTATTTCCATGGCCTAGAAAAGTTCACTTAATATTTGTGAATATGAGCTACTCTCTCAAAGCCTGAAACCAGAGAGGAAGTGTCAAACTTGTGATATCATAGGATGTAAAGGCTGTGGCTGCGTCAGAGACAACGACCCACAGAATATTTGTTTTCTTTTTGACACCAAAATGAGCTTTTCAACTGTAATGTTCTTAGTTCTAAAACAGGGAATGTACCCATATTGACCGAATCACAATGTTTGTTTACAATAACATCCAGGTAGAAAACCCCTGCATCACACATATAAAATTAAATGGTGCTGAGCTAACGTTGCCTCAGTTGGTTAGTATTTAGCCATCTTAATAAGACATACCTATAAAATATCAATATCAGTTTGACTGTATATATATTTAGAATATTTTTACCTTGCAGTTAGACTGCCTTTTCCGACAGGGGACTGAAGTTATCATCTCAACGCCACCAGACTCCAGTGACAAAAACAGGAGTTCAGGATTGACCAAGTATCAGATAGAAATAAATATGATTACCAGTTATACAATTGTCAGTTGTCTCCCTGGAGGTGATCATTGTTGTTAGTGCAATGTCACTGTGATTCGATCTATACTCAAAACATTCCCCTGGGTACTTTAAGTGGCATCTATAACATCATTTCTAATTCACTGTCTATGGAGGAGGTCCAGACTTTATACTTCAACACATTAGAGTTTTAACACCCTAGCTTTTGGATTTAGGAGAGAGTTGCTCATGTATAATAATACTGTTGGACTGTCTCAGACCACAGGAATAACATTTATGAATTTTGAAAATGGCCGTAGTTCCTCATTGAATTTAATATTGAAATTCTTTTTTGGATTGTACATTTTTGGCATCTACAAGAAGTTGAGAGATGAAATATTTATCTAGGTACAGCTTTAGGGTTCAAGAAATGAGCTGTTTATGTTGTGGTATACGCTTGAGCTGTGGAAGGAGAAGAGAGCTGATGGTCCAGTAAGTGCTCTCTACATCCCACTGCTTGGACGCAGATCAACTCTGCATTGTTTGCCGAGAGCTGAGACAGGGGACGATGCCAACAGGATTGGCGTATGTGGTTCGTCCCCATTCGTCTGGATTTCATTTTGACGCCAAGAAATACAGAGACAAAATATCGTTTTGAATGTTTGTCACTTTTCCCAATTCAAAAACTCATTTAGAATTACTGAAAAAAGAAAAGACAAAGATGAAAGCCAGGGAAGCTGGCAGTATGTTTAGCGGGCTAAAGATGGGTAGTTTGTGTCATGTTGTCGGAACTTAAGCGTCTGTGGGAGAATTCAAGCATCACACATATTATTATGCCTTTTTTTTTTTTTTTAGAAACAAAATAGGTCCTTTGCAATGAATTGCATCCTAATGGGACAAATGACACTGTAATTAGCAGGCAATTAAGTTGGGATACAGATAGTAGGGATGTGAACAGTGAGTCAGCAATTTCCTCTGGGAGAGTGGGAGGATAAACACATGCAGCATGTGATGTTCCCAAAAAAAAAAACTATCTCCAATCTCTCCACCTAGTTTCCAATAAGCACAGTAGAAAATGTTAAGTGACTGTGAGACCAAGACAAACCATTGAGAATGCATTATGAACTGTCGAAGTAGCTACTGTGAGATTGACCGGATTGTGAAAAGGTGCAGATATGAGGTTGCTGAAGGACTGTGATGAAGTGATGCAGCTGAATATATCAGTGATGGCGTGCACGGCGGTTCACACCTGGCCAGGCACCACTGCTCTGGAGAACAGCTTGTTCAGCTGAACCAGTTCGTTGGGTGTGGTGTCAAACTTGAGCGCAATGCTGTTCAACGTGTCCCGCGATTCCACCTGGACAACAAAACAAGAGAAGGGGCACAAAATCACACTCCTGATTCTGTTCAGAGCATTTCCTTACAGCTGCAGAGGGAAGACTTGAAGATGTGACACAGATTATGAGAGACTGAGAGAGAGGAGCTGAAACACAGAGCTGCGCAATTATTACTTTAATGTTAGATTTTTTGCATGTTAGAATTAGGGATGTTATGCAAATTAAAGCTGTCAGCTGTTGACCAGGAATAGATTCCCACAGGAGGCAATGTTGCTGGCAGAGATATGAACTGACATGAATGTCAGCAGCAGTCTTGTGTTATCTCGTGAAGCACTCATGTAGCTACATCTGTCTCTTTTTTTCAATTTAAAACAACAAAGACGCTCTTATGAGCACAAAGTCTAGGGCTAACTGCGAATTGATTATTTTCATTATTGATTAATCATTAGTCTATAAAGCACCAGATAACTAATACTGACTGTTTACGAAACCCTTCCCCTGAAAAATGATTGTGCAATCAAAGCTTAGCAACTGTAACTAGGCACAGCAGGTCTGTCAAACTTCTGTAAAGCCAAAAACTTAAGAGGACAACAGGCTTGGGCAGTATTTTTTTTCATACCTTCATACCTTACTGACATTTCACCAGGCTATACGGTATATGACAGTCTTTGTGTTAAAAAAAACAAACAAACAAGGAATAAAGGCTGAGCTATCGGTGATAAAAGTCATTTTAGCACGTATGTCTAACATACAATGCTGTGTTTCTAAAATGAAATTAGCCTACTTAAACAAGTCTTGCTGGATTTAAATACTTATTGTCCATATAATAAAAAACAGACAACAAATAAATGCCCTTCTTGCTGAAGAACCTGATGACTCTTGTTTTCGCAGTGAATACCGATATATCACTGGGCTGAACTGAGATGATGTGTGTTGGAGGTGGTCATTTTAAGATAAAGTTATATGCGGCAATACTTCCAACAGCGGCATTTTTTGTTCATACCAGTCCTGTAAAGTTATCCCCACCACTCGCAGTCAACACCTTTCTCAGCTCAGCTGCCTGTTCCACCAGTAGACACTGACCTCTGGCGCCTGTCATGATAACTACTTTTATTGGGCAATATACTGTCCGAGACATAATTGCGATAAACAATATTATCGTCATTTTATGCCACTGATCTTATGATAATATAATAGCATATTGCAACTACAACCTTTCAAAGAGCAGTGAACTATTAATCTGACAAGAAATGACGGCAAAACGCATCACAGCATATTGTTTTTCGGTTCATTTGGCTCGGGCACTGTGAAAAAACGCTTCGGCATTGCATCCAAGTCTTATGGGGCCTCCACTCGTAACGAAGGGTTAAGTTACCATGTGCCACCTCCAGTCATTTCAATGTAGGAAAGGCAGCAGAGGGAAAGCGGTTTGAACGTATCTGTGGGGGTATGAAGCCATTGCCACCCAAGTGAACACGCGCAGATTTTGCTCTGCTGTGCTGAGCAAAATCTGAACTACCGGCGGTTGTTGCTTGGCTTTGGTCTATCAAATAGCAAGCATCACACAAGCAAAAATAAGACAAGATGGAGGAGCTGATAATGTTGGTGTCTGAATACCCAGAGTTACGGTGCCAGCAACTTATTAGGACAACCAGAGAAAAAAAAGTAAATTGTCCAAATATGTAGAAATCTTTGGCAATGTCAGTATGCATCTACAAGTTAGCTTGCACTTGCCAATGTTTACAGAAGCACCTGCCTGTCATTGCAGCTGTGGTCCGTAGTGGTTACTGCATGGCGGCATGAAGGCGGCTTTAGAATGGAAGGGAAAACCGCACTATTTATTCAGGCAACATGTTGACTAAAATTTTGGTGACATTCTTATGTAAATAGACACAAATGTAAACACAAAGCAATAACGTACCATATATGGACATGACCTCGATCATTTTTGCTGACCTTGATAGGTCGATAATGTAATTATCCTGACAGGCCTAATTTGGGCTTGCATTTTTTTTTTTAACCACGCTAACCTTTGTACTAACTAACTCTACACTTAATATAATTTGATAAAGCATATCAACCTGAACCATATTAAGGGTACAAACAAACAGAAGAAGAGGTAGTGCTTCATGTTTAACAGATCACACAGGCTTCTGATGTGGCGACATCCTGTGCTCAGCTGCTGCACCCTGCAGTTTTACGCAGGTGCATTTGCTTGTCTCCACCAGTTAAAATCCATACAACAGAGATGTGCTCCACGTGTCTGAACTAGTTAAGCATCTAACATGCCCAGTGGGAGTTTCTACCTTCCAAATAAGGCTGACAACCCTGTCAGAAAGTGCCTGCAAATGTGAGAAACGTGGTATGAGTGAAAAAAAGTGAGCTCAGGGGAGAGAACCCCTGAGAACCAGACAGGCAGGGCTGACTCTGAGCCGTGTATAATTAGGACAGGATAATGGCACTGTGTGTTTTAGTGCAACAGTCATGGGACTGCCTCAGTGGTTCCTGTGTATGTGTGTGTGCAAACAGTCCCAGAAAAAACACCAAGGAATGACAGCTTCTCCAAATTCTTGACATGACGGATTGTTTCCAGGAGGATGTTCTTGCACCGACAGACAGACACACACACAGAGCACAGACACAGACAGGTAGTTGAGTAAGAGGAACCAAGACAGACAAGCTGGAACATTAGTAACACAGAATCATTGTGTGTGAGGGAGTCACACATGACATGATCAGGATCATGGTCATGCCAGCAGCACATAGCAACATCGAGGGGGAGAAGCAGAAAATACAGAAACTCAGCAACCAGTGAATGTGTTCAAATTTAGTATCACTACTGTTGACGTGCATTAACTCAAGCTCCAAACACAGACTATTCTGTCTCCAGGTAGCAACTAAAAGTCATTGTGAAGTGAAAAATTAGAAGCTATTGCATCTTCACTGCATTACACGGGTGTCAGACAGCATTTCATGAGACAAAATCCTCAGTAAACTCACAGAGATGAAGCATGCATGGAATAAGATTTGGTTTGAAACAGAGCTCTTAGGAATTCATATTTTCAAATATTTGAAATATACAAAGTGTACTTGATTTAGCAAGAACAACAGAGCCATATGGCACCATCCCCAAAATCTGTGGCTCAGAGAGGCGAGCAAATCAAGCATTCATCAGCACAAATATTCAGAGTGTGTGATGAGCTATGGAGACAGGGGCCAAGGCTGTGGGCAGGGTTGGGGTAAAATGAAGCCAGGTGAGGACTGAGGCAGGATTAAGTGGGAAAAGCACTGCTGATCAAGTGAGAGATGGTGGTGCATTCCCAGCAAGAAGCAGTAACACAAACCTGAACAAGAAAAACCTGCAGAAAACTCAGAGACATGTTGGCTGCGTATTGTATTTGGATCCGGAACAATTCCAATTTACATCAACTTCAGCAGAATGTTTGTTTGTCCCTCTGATACTGAATATAGGGGTCATTTAAAATGATTAATGATCAGGATGTTTTAAAATTGGTTAAAATTCTGATAAATGGATTCAGACAAGCACCCATTCATAATAAGGCATTGTCTGAAGCAAGCTACCTACAGGCAACCAGAGGAATACTAACAACACTGATACAACATCTCAGGAAGAAAGCCTCTTAGTGTAACTGACCATAAAGTCATATGATAAAAAGCTTGCTAATGATGAATGAAACCCAACAACAAGAGCTAGTAAAACACTTAACACCATGAAAGCATGGGACTCACTAAAAACATGTTGTTTTCACCCAGGGGCAGTGCCTCATGTCCTGCGTCTATGTGCCTGGTGCACATCCTGGTTGGCTCACATTGGGTTGTCACATCACTTTTTGGATAAGCTAGCTAAACTGTGGCCTAAATGGTTGTTTATTAACGTTATATTTGCCTTGGCCACAAGAGACATAACACCTAACTGTGACTTCAAACAGCGATGATTTTCATATTCCTTGTGATCATCAGTTTACAAAGACACACTTCTATTTTTGCTCCTTGCTGCTGCTGCTTGACCATCACAACATTATATGGGAAAATATGTACAATTAAATAGTGCTAAAATATACTGACAAACTAAAATACATTGAACAAAATGTGAAAATACACTCAGAGCACTGGCTGAGATGGTCATGAAGCCCGTCAAAGCATGCACAGCTGTGCTCCACAAAACGACGCCCATCAAGGGGGAATACTTTGCTTTAAGGGAGTCCCATGAAAGCACAGTGACAGTAAGTTATTGCATTGTCAGTGCTTGAGAGCCCAGCTCTTTTTGGAGCTGAAATGTCTTGTGATGCTGGTCACTTGCTTCTAGCACCATCCTTCACTGTAGGGGAATCAAACAAAGTGGGGGTAGGAGAATGTTGACAGTCCAACATAAAAGCAGTTTAGGTCTTGAAAATTAAAAAGTATGTCTGCAAAGTGAGTTCTGAAATCCTGAAATCTCGGCAACTGACGACAGTCATTTTTATTGAATAACTCTCCTTTCATCATGGGTTATTTCTTACACATCTATTCATGTCTTTTTAAACTGGGCTCTTCTATGGAGACTGAGCTAGCTAGGGGTTTGGCAAAACGGTGTTGTGAGTGTGCTAAGTGCTAATCCAAGGCCCAGATTGTGGGCTACATTGAGTTTGGATACCCTACTCACTGGGGGAACAAACTAATCAGATCTGAGGTCAGTCATGCCGCTGGGATACAGTCTCTATGACTCAGCAATGTGAGCAATTTTGTTTGGAAAACAATGAACAAGGCAGAGCAGAGATGCATTGTGCAGCATGGACTGGGTGGGCTGACTGAGATAGGTTTACTGGCAGAGGTTTTACAGTGAGCAGAGCTACACTGCAGAGGATGAAGGGTGATGATTGACTATTCTAGGCTTCTAACTGATTGCTGATGGATGTCACCAAACATAAAGTGATGGGAGGATTTACAGGCAAAAATTTCAAACACCACCACTGGCGATCATAATAGATAGATAAAAAACAAAATAATTTTATCATTTATC